TAATTATTACTGTGATATTCATTTGTATTATTGATTCAATATGTTATCTTTTCCAGTGACGAGTAATGAAAGCAGTTTATTAGATATCGTTTATTTATTTTTCTGAACTCCGCGCTAATTAGGATTGACATAAGTGTTCTCAATTCTTTTCCCCCCACAGTTTGTGTCTATCCGGATTCAGTTTGTCATTCGTTATCTTGGGAATAAACATCTAGGCATTTTCACCACAACTGGTGAAAACAATGGGAAAAACTTTCAAAAAACTGTGTTTTGGGCTAGTTCTTGAGACTCTTCCGAACAGGGTAACAAGATTACCCCTGATTGTTCGAATAGTCTCATAGTTGAGTTTTAGCTGTTTTCTCGACTTTAGTTGTTTTCTTCAACCGGCGTTTCATAGCAGCTCATGCAGAGGCCATAGAAATACATGGTACAGTATTGCACGTCTTAGCAACGTAGAACGTCCGGTGATAGACATGTAGATCTGCCCTCAAGAATAACAGTTTGTTACCTTTGTGATGATAAAAATGCCATCGAGACATGCAACTTCAGTAGAATTAATATATACATTATACTCTTTACATTTAGGTTTACCAATGCAATCCGAGCTGGTTTCCGATTTCAAGGCACAGAACGTATTGTGGTTGGTGGGGCTGATGAATTGTGGTTATTTATAAATCAAGTGTACATGATTCAAGTGCATTCAGACTCAACACAATCAGCCGATATCAGCTGTAAACAAATTGATCTGAGTAATGCTGTTAATTCTGGTAAGTTGTACTTAATACATACAAATGAGGACGAAATAGAGTCATGTACATGTTGTGCTACGGTTGTTGTTTGTGTAAACTATTACAGTAATTTACGTTTTGTAATAAGTGATTATTCACATAGTTCATAAAAGGTGTGAATCAAGCATCGGTCGTGAAAATTGAATGATCTGATTTGTACTTGATTTTTTTTCATTGCTCAATGTCAAAATGCTGATCTTTCAGATAGAAATATGGCATTGAGATACACTTACTTCATCAAAATTGACCATCATAAAATGTGTACAGCACATATATTATCAGGCTCTAAAAATATTTATGCATTTAACACGTCTCCCTAATGCTATCTTTGTTTGTCCTGGTTTTATGTTCGATTTCACACATAACGCATGATCTAACAGTGAACAGAAAATGGTGTATTATTTCATATACAGCATATGAAATTAGAAATTAATCCTACTAAGATTAGATATGGTGGTAAATTATGTTCGATTTCACACATATCGCATGATCTAACAGTGAACAGAAAATGGTGTATTCATGTACAGCATATAAAATTAAAAATTAATCCTACTAAGATTAGATATGGTGGTAAATTATGTTCGATTTCACACATATCGCATGATCTAACAGTGAACAGAAAATGGTCTATTCATGTACAGCATATAAAATTTGAAATTAATCCAACTAAGATTAGATATGGTGGTAAATAACAAAAAACAAGGACAGCAAATATTGAGAACTTGTGTCTCCTGACTCACATCATGCAAGGGACAGTATGCTGTCCTTGGCCATGTCAACCCCCGTTTCTCTGAAATAACTGGCCTGATTCAATTCATCTTTTATTTTGGG